TATATTACATATAGATACATACTTAGATGTGCCGGGAGGACCATTGAGACTCACACCACGGTTGAGTGTACTGAGCCCCTCGGTATGCGCCACATAGTCGGGGTGCTTGAGGTAGATGTACACACTCTGTATCAACTGTTCCATGAACATTGGGTCTATGTAGTACGGGAAGTCCGCAAAGGACACATCCGTGATATCCTCGGGCTTGACCATCTTCGCCTGTGTTTTACACCATAAGATTGTACATGTGTTGAGTACACGCACACATGCTTCGTCCCTGCGAGTGATAATACATTTGACTTGAACGTTTTAGATGAATTCCCGCAGAATACACACCCAAAACACGGGTACACAAATCTTCCAGCCCCAAGGCACAAGCCGCACATATTAATCATGAGCACAAGAAACAAATACACAGGACATACGCAATTGCATACAACACGCATTGGTATCTTACACTTACCGACACAACTATTGATACACACACGGACGTACACACACCCAATTGTAGACAATACACACCAGTCCTTCATACTAATACTAACTGACAAAGATATTGACACAGACGGGCAAGCATACACCCGACTTGTAGACATGAAAGATTACATAGTGCCTCGATTGGCACACACGTACCTTGAAGTGTTCCTTCCACAGGCCTGAGACGATCTTGAGTGCGTCTTGCAGTTTGGTGTATAGCATTTCCTGGTCTGCTTTGTCCGCTTTCATCTTGGCCGACTGCGCCTCATTGACTAAAAATAGAACAAGTCACCGTGAGCTACCGAAATATACATATCAACTCAAAGCTCAAACTATATAAATAGAAAAAGTGACATTGAGCCACAATGATCTGGCATGCGCACAAACAGATGCGAATGCGTATTAGGTATGCAGACCGGTGTATACGAAGTTCTCTCAAATCGATGCATAGTCTCAGCTGGCGCACACCTTAAATGCCACTAGGGTGTAAGGGCCACCTTCGCGTGAATGATGGTCCGATCGAAGTGCTGGCGCTGACTAAGTGTCAACTCAAATCAATACATCTATACACATATATTCACTCACAGGGACCCGTGTTTATGTGTATAGGTATACAGATACATCTATACACATAATACAGTCAAAGTACCCATAAAATTGAACCTAAGATATGAGTACCTGTATCTGCGCTAGCCTTGTCTCTGCTTCGAGAGTCATACTCTTTAGCATTCGGCGGTATACTTGGGTTTGATACCTGTACTACAGGGGTTCCCTTGGCCACAGCTTGTTGGCTGTACGACCTGCGATTCCTTTTGGTGTCTGCTGTGGGCAAGAGCGGTTTGTGGATTTAGAGAGATTAACAAACTATAGACATGTGTATATATAGTTTGATCCAATACTAAGAAGATTAGTATATATTAGTGTCTACAGTAGGCAAGAGAAGTATATGGATTAAGAGAGATAAACAAACTATAGACATGTGTATATATAGTTTGATCCAATACTAAGAAGATCAGTAAATATTATGGTGTCTGCTTTAGGCAAGAGAAGTTTATGGATTAAGAGAGATAAACAAACTATAGACATGTGTATATACAGTTTGATCCAATACTTAGAAGATTAGTATATATTATGGTGTCTGCTATAGGCAAGAGAAGTGTGTGGATTAATAGAGATAAACAAACTATAGTTTTATCCAATACTAAGAAGATTAGTATATATTTATGATATTGATGTTTGCAGGGGCAAGGTCTGCATCCGAACAGACCGTAAAATGAATATTGGAACAGTTTCGGCGCGCGTTTCTTGCCCAACAACTGTGCAGTCTTCGATTTGTTCTGAGATTCGCACACATTTCATAGGTAGATGTATTGCTTCTTAGTGTTAGGGTACAGTATGGGTTATTCTCAGGTATGTGAATCTCCGTCCTCTTCTTACGTATGGCATTTGGGCATATACCTATAGTATACACTTTGGATACACTTATGCAGGAAAATAACAACTTCGGCACACACACACAAACTCTATATATGAAATCGGACGAAATCTTCCAGCTGCGAGGTAAGCGTTTCAATTCACTGCACGTCTTTCCGTCTCTTGCATGTGGTTGGTTAGCGGTAGGGTCGTGATAGAGACTTTACAACGCATGCATTCTCCTGCTCAATATACAAATAAGGCATCCAGACGGAACTGCAAACGACAATTCACACAAAACGCATCAAAACGCATAGTACGATTCGATACCACCATGACATCACATTCACATTCCACAGGCATCCACACCATATTCACTATACGTTCCCATACTACCGTGAAATCACATATCACAAGTGTACACACAATATTCATGCAAGGTAATGCACCAACCTGGCGGCACCGCCACGGCTTTGCCATCTGCCTTTGGCGCGCTGACATTGGCCTGCGTTATACGCCTTTGCTCGATCTGTATAGAGCAAAAAAAGCCAATCAGTTCACATACACGTATATATCTAAATACGCTATTGTTTATGTATATAGATGGATATATGTATTAGACCACATAGTGTATACGTGATGATCCTGTAGTATATAGCCCACGAACAACGATAGTTCACAACTGCTGAAATCAAAGTATTTGAGGGGTTTTACGGCCCAAAGCAGACTATAGGTCATATAATTTGACTGCTGAAATAACTGGATGCTTCAGCGGGCGCCCCCGTATGCGACCATTAGGTGTAGGTTTGCAACCATGCATTGACAATACAATTACATCGCTGATTAAAAACCACAACTATACACCCCCCAGGAAATCAGGAAACCAATCGGACTGTGGATTCGATGACAAGCCCCATAAACGACAGTCATATAACTGCCAAAAACCACCTAAAACAGATCATTATAATCTCAAACCCCATCTCCCTCTCCTCCCCAGATTTCCGAGAGAAAAAGCCATACCGCAGAAAGGGTCGTTGCCTGAGCCTCTTCATCATCGGAGTCGAAATCGCCCGTGAAAACGAAGCTGAAACTTGAACTAGCCACAATGGATATCTTATCGCCGACCAAAATCCTGTAGGTACGAGTTGTACGACAGAAATAACCCAGAAATGAGCACACAATAGTATCGATCTGGGTGGGTTTGGCACAAGTAGCCTAAGCAACAGGTGACCATATAAACAGGAAGCAAGAATATGTGGATCAGCACTACACGACACATTAACAGTTTTGTCTTGCAATACAGTGTTTATTGACATGCATCGATCGTAGATATAACAACTACTGATGTGTACACTTACAAACACAGGCGGGTGTGCATAGTAACATACGAAATTGCTAATAGATATCTAGGGTGAAAAGCATGAAAGCCATCGGCCATTAAAATTGTGACTTGAGCATCGATAAAACCAATAGTACAATGTCAAGTTCAACCAGTTGTCGAGAGTATAAATAAACACTCATACCTGGGTACAACAGAGGAGTACGCTTTGATATGTATTGAAATGTAAGAGTGCAAACTGTTCATCCGAGGCAAGCGATATCATCGTCACGTACCGTTAGAATGGCTATCGAGAATAAAGACGCAAATCAGTACATTGTTAGGTCTAGACACCCCGACACTACTGGTACATACGAGCCAGACGGTATACGTTGTAGTATAAGCAAATGCTTATCACTATATATGGCCCACGATGATACAGCGATGGCTTCTACGATAGCTTCAAGCAAATATATCACTGATAGAGGGAAAAATCCGATTCATGAATGACCCCATACCGGTGTACGTCACATAAGCGATAACGACAGAACTACTCTAATTGATATTATTACATAAAGCATTATACCAGCTCGCTTTCTCCTAGTGTG